ATGTATATATGAATCACTTGCTTATTTGATTAATGCACATAAAATATTTCAGGAAACTATACACTAAAATATGAAAGAACAATAAAGCTACCAAGGTGAGTTAGAAGACTATCTTCATGACCTTGGTGCAAGCTGTGAATTCCCAAACAGGACAGAAACCACCCCAACATAAAGAATAGCTTTTCATTAACACTCCACTGGAGAGAAAAAGGCAAGACAGTGACTGGAATAACCCAGATATCCAACAAAGCACTTGATTCTAGGTTTATGAAAAATCCCTAAAACTCTCTAAGAAAAAAAAAACCTAAACAACCCACGTTAAAAAAAATGGTCAAAAAACTTAAAGAAATTTTCCACAAAGAAGATATCCCAAATGGCTAACAAACATCATATCACTTAACAATCACAGAATAAAACAACAACAAAACAAAAAATCCTGACAATGCCAAGTGTTGATGAGGGTGTGGAGCAACTGGACTTTCAGGAAGTTTCTAGCCCCTGCCCACTGCTCAGCACCACTTTTGGATTTGAGTGTCTGCTGGTCCAACTTCCTGCCCTTGGCCAGCGCATCCTTCTGCCTAAGGAGTTTTCTCAGCCTCAGGTGCAGTTCTAACTGTAACAGCATCAGGCTTGAGGTGTCAGAATAAACTCTCTGACTTGAGTGATGTATGACCAACCCAACTCCCTTGCTCTCTGATGTCTGTCTATACTATTCCTAGAGATCTTCAGTAAAATTTAGCACTAGTTATTTGCTGTGGCACTTGTTTGATAATATTCTTTCCCTGGCTCCCAAACCCCTCCCCATTTCATTTCCTTAGGCCCTATGAAATCCCCCCTCCCTACCAGAGGCTATCTTGCCAATAAACTACTGCACTCAAATTCCTAGTTTAGGTTATATATCTGGGAAAACCCAAATTGAGAATAAAGCTATAGTCCACTAAAAATGTTTACTTAAGCAGGATATAAAATGAATACCCACAAATCAAATGCAATCTTATACATCAGTGATGAATCCACTGAAAGATAAATTAGGAAAACTACCTGGTTCACAATAGCTTTAAAAAAATTTTTGGAAATCAATCCAACAAAAGAAGTGAAAGACCATAATGAAAACTACAGAATACTAAATAAAGAAATTGAAGAAGATCTTAGAAGACAGAAAAATATACCATGCTCTTGGATAGTCAGAATTAACATTGTCAAAATGGCCATATTAATAAAAGTGTTATACAGATTTAATGAAATTCCTATTAAAATACCAATGACATTCTTCATAGAACTAGAAAAAGCAATCATGAAATTCATTTGGAAAAATAAGAGACCCAGAATAGCTAAAGCAATCCTTAACAAGAAATAACAAAGAGGAGGCATCATAATACCAGACCTTAAGTTATACTACAGAGACATAGTAACAAAAATTGGATGGCATTGGCACTCAAACAAATCTATAGACCAATGGTATAGAATATAGGACACAGAGACAAATCCACATAAATACAGTTATGTTATACTAGACAAAGGTGCCAAAAACATACATAGAGAAAAGATAGTCTTTCCAACAAAATGTGCTGGGAAAACTGGAAATCCATATGCAGCAAGATGAATAGAGGTATTTTGGACTAGACAGAGGGGAGTGAAAAAAGGGGAGGGGGCCTGAGGGTAGGAATGGTAATAGAATGAATCAGACATTATTGCCCTATGTGCATATATGATTACATGACCTGTGTAAACTCTATATCATATACAACACAATGAGTGAGAAATTATACTCCATTTATGTATGATGTATCAAAATGCATTCTACTGTCAATTCAACTAATTAGAACAAATGAAAAAATGAGTATTGAAATTAAAAAATGTTTACTTAAAAAGAAAAAAGTATGGGAGATTCTTCATTTGGATGGAAAACAACAGTTAATATTACTTAGGAGAGATGGCTTTGGTGTTGCAGGATATCAGGATATACTTCACCACTATTATCAATGTAAAAGCTGCATTTTTTACCCACACAGATGGAAATCTGATCATGTAATCAGAAGCTCTGCTAGAAGTTTCTCATCATTTATCTCAATTATTAGTCCCCTTATATTGATGAGGAAGGTGAAAGTCAGTGTGAAATAACTTGTTCAAGATCACATTATAGCCAGGTATACTGGTGCACACCTATAATCCCAGCTACTAGGGAGGCTGAGGCAAGAGGCCTGGGCAATTGAGCAAGACTCTGTCTCAAGATCAAATAAATGAAGAAAAAGACTGGGGATGTAGCTCAGTGGTAAAGTGCTCTTGGGTTCAATCCCCTGTACCTGAAAAATAAAACCCATTATAATTTTCATAATGATTTAGGGTGTGTTACATCTGACTAACTCCAAGGCTTGACCATTACATTGACCAGATTGCGAACCGTCAGGATGAGAATTGGAAGGTGAAGGCGCTTTATCATCGACTGATTGAGACATCAAATACAGTCATAAAACAGAGGAATGCAATGACCAGATGTTGTAGAAACTGTCTCTGACTTCAGGATCAGAGGATAGGTTGGAGGGGGAAGGCCAGGGAAGGACAGCCAGCAGGAATATCCTTTAGGCTATAAATGCAATAACCCAGGGGCAAAAATGGAAAGGGCTGAAACCAGGATGGGGGTTATAGAAAAGGCAGAGAGGGTGGATTCTAGGAATAATGGCCCGGGGAAGGGAGAGACAACTCGTGGTAACCAAACAGTTGTGGGGATTGAAGAAGATGAAAGGCAATTTCTTGATTCAGATGTTGAGAAGATTTGATTTTTGATTGAGGTTGCTTTGACAATCCACTGTTCTTGGAACAGGGGTCCCCCTGGTGGTGAAAGAGAACCAAGATTGGGATTCCCCTTCCTGAGTACCTACTATGGGATAAAGTTATGCAAATGAACATAGAAATAATATCATAGGGTAAGGATGCTCTTCTTCTTTTGTGATGGCAAAGAGCCACAGCTAAAAATAACCAAAAGCCAATTGTTGCTAATGGACCAGGAATTGGGGCCTAACAACAACCTTTATCCATTCAAACAAGGCAGCTTCTGTCACCATGATTTCCTCAGAATGTCCATGTCACTGAGACAGGTTGGCTGGTATCAGTGGTACTAAATGCAACAAACATTCAGAGACTATCCCAGGGAGTGTTGATCTTATTTATTAAGAGATGGCAGAGCAAAACCTAGAGACCTCAAAGCCAGTTCTATCTGAGTTTGTTGGCCTTGCCACAAATCTGCCAGTATCAGTTTTTTTCCTATGTCAATTATACACAATAGTACCTCGTGGGTACAAGGTCTGAGGTGATGTGTGTAAAGCACTAGCTCAATGCCTTCTCCTTGATGGTTGGAGGTGGAATAGTTATTACCCTCTGCCGCCCCTTAGGTAAAGTAGAGAGTCTTAGGGATGTGGGATGATTCATGAATATGCTAATAAAAAGGGTGTTTTCCAAAGCAAACTCAAAAGATTGCTAAACTGTTGGAACCACTCTCTCCTCCAGCCGAGTAGTACATCTAAATAGACAAAATAGCACTCCAGAGAGATTTCTGTTTCTTTCTCTCTTAGGTCTTGAGCGTAGCCCTTGGAATAAGAGGAATTTTCTAAAACAGGTATTTTGAATAGGCCTGAGTCATCAACCGAGATGAGATGTTTCGGAAAATTTCCATTTTAAGCCTTTGGCATGCTCTTTATTAAGTATAAATACCTAGCTTGCTATATAAATACACACGGAGCGTAACTTTTGCTAAGTAACCCAAGGCCAGCAGCTTGAGACCTGAGAAGAGAGCTGCACACAATTGTATCTAGTGATTTCTTTCTCAAAAGCCTTTGGATCCTGGTAAGGTTTTAAGTGTTAAATCTCATAAGAATTACCTCTTGAAATCACCACAGCCTGTTTTTTCCCCCAGGAGATCTGTGTGCACACGAATTAGTTGGTCTTACCCATCTGTAAGCTTTTGTAAGCTCCCTAATGAAAACAATGGTATTTTCTTGGCTTAATCACATATTATTGAGTGGTCTGTCCCTTATGCTATAAATATACAGTAATGAGGAGTGTTCTGCTCATTAGAGACCACCAGCATACCAGGCAATGGCATATTGGAGATTTTATTGATGTGTACAGAAAATAGAATAATTTTTTTTCCCCAGAAAGCAGAATCTTAAAGGTCAAAAAATAACCATCCAAAAAAAAAAAAAACCTTCTTTATTCCACTACAAACACTATAGCAATATGGAACAGCAAAGGCATTTAACAAAATTAATCAATGATACGTTTCATAAAGAAAACAGAGAGGTTTTTTTATTGCAATGATTTGCCTCCTTCATTATATTGGACTCTACCTTCTTATTAGCTCTTTGGATTTTATAGTGTTTTGTAAGATAGAATAATTGATGTTTTGTCCTTTTTCTAGATGTGTACCTAAATTTGCTGGGTATTGGGAGGTGACAGTATGCAGAACTAACTACAGCACGGACAGGTCTCCCTTTGAGTGAGTGTGGTCTCTGATGTCTTTCTCCTCGTGGTGGAAACCAGAACTCTTATTCAGTGAGGAAACAAGTGTCATAACCAGTGCCCACAAATAATAGATTTTTAGTGTGTGTGTTTGTGTTTGTGTGTGTGTGTACTGAGAATTGGGGTTCTTAAAAATCATCCATGTGTATATTTGTTTATTGGGTATAAGTTTCCTCCTTTTGCAAGTCAGTTGAACTAAGCCTGGACCCATTCCTTGTAGTGTTGTGTTTTAACTCAAATTCATTTTTCAATCACAACTACTTAGGATGGATATGCACATAACAAGCAAATACAGAAGCAATGCCGCTTTCTACACACTGTATCTTTCCTTTTGCTGATTTTCTCCAAATGAGTGAGCCAAATGTGTGTATATCTGTCCCAGTAACACCCTAAAATCAAGAAAGCATCTTTTTCAAGAATGTTTTGAGTTAAAAAACCTGAAGCCATGGCAACTTGAGAATGACCACAAGGAACAGAACTCTTACCTTCCGATATCCCCAGAGCTGGTTCCCCTTCATGCCATGACAGTCATAGAGAGTGACTGGGCTGTTGTATGAGATTGCATCAAAGCAGAATTTTCGGGTATGCAGTGGCTCACCAGGTCGAATATCTTCTCTCCATCCAAAGGTAAAGAGCTAACAAAGCAATGGTAGCAGAAAAGCTAAAATGAGTTCAATTTGGAAAGAAGATTCCAGAGCAGGGGGAGGCATGTCTTTTGGCAACATAGAACCCATGCTGTGTGACTTACAAGAGAGAACCACGTCTGGGCTTAATAGAAATGTTGAGAAGGCATGTTTCCTAAAGTACTGGAGCAGCATCACCTTGGCACCTGTGACCCAGGCTAATCAAAATGTAAACAAGGAATTTTCAGTTAGGCAATAGGGGGACACGTCAGAGGGTGGTGGCATGGTGGGAGGAGGGGGGAAGAGAAAGAGAAAGAGAGGGAGAGGGGGGGAGAGAGAGAGAGAGAGAGAGAGAGAGAGAGAGAGAGAGAGAGAGAGAGAGGGAGAGAGGTGTATTGAGAGAGGAGGAAAAGAGAGGGAGAGAGGGGAGAGGGAGGAAGAGGAAGAGGGAGGAAGTCTTTAATAATACTTTACATTTGTCATGTAAGTAAATGTTACTAGATTAAATGTTACACTAAACTCAAATGAGCAGATTAATTACAAAAGGACAAGGACTAGAGTTAAACTGGACTCATGCTAACACCTTGAAAGAAATTTCTTTTTCCTTGGTACTAGGGATTGAACCCCAGTGTATTCTACCACCAAGTCACACCCCCAGCCCTTTTAATTATTTTTTGTGTGTTTGTTTGGGATCTTATTAGTTACTGAGGCTCTCATTAAATTGCTGAGGCTGGCCTTGAACCTCCTGTCTCAGCCTTCTGGGATTACAGGTATGCATTGGCCTGGCTGCCTTGGAAAATTTAAAGAAAAAACTAAGCTCAATGGAGTACAGAATAGGCAAATTAATTTTCTTGGGTTGTTAAGGGTAATTCTGCAGGGCAATGTAGGAAATTGTACATTGTAACTCACAGTAAGAGACAGACTTTACAGACATACCCAATGACCTCTCCTCACCCCAGCTGAAGCAGAAGTGTCATGGAATGACATTTACCTTGACTGCATTTAATAGACTCTGATAACTCCAGCCAGACTTTTCCTATCCTGGTCTATCCTATCCATCCCACCCCATGATATTAAAAATGCTGTTTATGATTCATTGAATTGATTTTACAATGTGTTAAATACAGAAAAAAAAAAAAAAACCCTACTCCTATTGGGGAAGGGTATTTTCTTGAGTTATTTGAGCCAAACTGCATTTGAGGGATATAGCAGGAAAAATCCTTAACTAACAGAAAATAGATGAGATGCACCCTGCGATTTCTTCCAGTCCTTCACTTTCAGAAAGGTTATATAATTTTTATAATAGGACTTAAGGCAGGCTGCCTGCATGAAGCCAAGCTGTGAGCCGAAAAGAAAAAAAATGAAAATAAAAACGACGAGCTATTGGGAAACTACGTTGATAGAAAAACAAGCACAATACTGAGCTGTGTGTACAGAATACACTTCACAGTGACCAGGCCCTCAGTAGATTTCAGGTTTCAGGTCCTACTCAGGAAAAGAAAATGCAGAAAGAAATCCCTGGCACAATTCCAGGGATATCTAACAAAAGCAGTTAAATTGTGGGGATTCTGAAGAAAAATGGAAAGAACTGGGTTAAGTGGTCTAAAGAAAATAAAACAGAAGTGGTTCAAATCAAACATGAAAGAAGATTGTCTGAGAAACCTTGAGGGGCTGTATTCTGTTTCCCTGGAAGACAAGAAAAAAAGAGAATGTCTCAAATGCAAGGACAAGGGGTTTTAGGTTAGGCACTTGAAATAAATTCATGAAGAAGAACTATAGATTTCCTTTTCCTAGAGCTAGGTGTCCCCTCTTCCCCAACACACTACTGTGACTGAAGCATTTTTTTTTGACACATTTAAATCCTGTGTAGAAAAAATGACTTCTTAAGGTCTGTTCCGTGTTTCTGATTTTGATCACTCTCTTCTAATTAGAATTTGGTATCCCTATGGTTTTTGAAATCCTGTACACTATCTTGTCCACCCTCTTTTTTTTTATTTTTAAAGTTTTTTTAGTGGTAGTTGGACACAATACCTTTATTTTATTTATTTTATGTGGTGCTGAGGGTCGAACCCAGTACCTGGCATGTGCTAGGCGAGCACTCTGCCTCTGAGCCACAGCCCCACCCTCTTTTATCCATCTCTTCACTTCAACATAGGTGTTTCTCAGGGTTCTCTCTTTTTCCTGTTTGGCCCTTAATACTCTCAGTTCAATTCTCACTATATGCTGATCACGTATTGTCTGTGTTACCTTCAATTCCTTGTAGGATTCCCCAACTCTATGTCCTGTGGACAGCTCAAATTCAATATTGTTATGGTTTGGATGTGAGGTGTCCCCCAAAGTTCCGGTGTTGATGCAGGAACATTCAGAAGTGAAACACTCAGATTATAAGAGCTGTAACCTAATCAGTTCATCCTAGTTTGAATAGACTGACAGGATGCTAACTGTAGGCAGGTGAGAAGTGGATGGAGGAGGCGGGTCACTGGCAGTGATCTCTGGAAGGGTTCACCTTCTGTGTGTCCCCTCTGCTCCCATTTCTTGATCCTGTCACGAGCTGAGTAGCTTTCCTTCACTGGGCCCTTCTCCCATGGTTTGGTGCCTCACCTTGAGCCCAGACCAGTGGAGTCAGCCACCTATGGACTGAGAACTCTGAAACTGTGAGCTCCAAATAAACTTTTTTTTTCTCCCCTAAGTCGTTTTGGTTGGATATTTTGGTCACAGTGACGCAAAACCTGACTAAAACAGAAACTGGTACCAAGAAGTGTGGTCGTTTCTGTGACTAACCTGATTATGTGGTTCAGAAGCCTTTAGAGTTGTTTGTGGGAGGAATTTTGAAAAGTTTAGAGATACAACCTAGAAGAGATTTAGCACATTGTAAGCACAACTTAATGGGGGAATTCTGGTGGAATCTCAGAAGATCAGAATGCTGATCGGTGCAGACTGTGCTCATGAGGTGTCAGAAGGAAATGAGGATTTATTGGGAGTTAGATTAGAGATGGCACACGTTATATCTGGCAAAGAACTTGGCTACATTTTCTCCATATCCTGAGACTTTATGTGAGGATGAATTAAAGGAAATAGACTAATCTGGTCAAGGAAATTTTAAGGCAGCACAGCATTCAGTTGGACATTGCTGGCAGCTTTCAGATAGGTCTACTGTCAAATAGGGAGCAGAAAGCAGAGCTAAAGGATTTTAAAACATCACAGTTTGGCCAGAAAAGTACATGTAAAGCTGGGGTCAAGGAAGGTGTGTTTGTTAAAGAGGCTTTACTCCCTAAAGAGATCATAAGTACTTTACATACAGACACCAGGAAAGATGCCTTGAGGGCATCTCAGGAATTTGGAAGACCACACTTTTTATAGGGTCCAGGGCATAGAAGAGAACATTCCTTTGAGAAGAGATCATAGGGATTCCCTGCTCACACAGGTAGGCCTAGGAAACTGTTTCACCATGCTGAGCTGTGCAAATACTCAAAGGCTCCTGTAGCCATGATTCCAGAGGGTCAAGTGTTATGTAAGATAGCAGCAGACCAAGTGGTACTGATTCTATAGGAATGCAGAATGCTGGAGTTAAGGGGTAATGGAGGCTTCCACCAAGATTTTAAAGGAAGACCTGGAAGGCCATGTGAAGTGTATAGGGACATAGTCCCTATGGGCTGTCCTGAGAGAGTGACATGTGAAGCTGTGAAGATGAAACTGAACCTGGAATGAAGACCCCCAGGAACTGAGAGATGCCAGTAACATGTACTGTCTGCTGATAAAAGTTGCTGGCTGTGGAAAGAGCAAGATTAAAAGACAGTTTGTGTGCAATGCAATCAGCAAGGCCAAAGGGACAGGGCTGCCCAAGCTCTGGTGAGCACATCTTCCCACCATGTGTCTCAGATTCCAGAGAAGGAGCTCCAAAAATTATTTGCCAGGCTGGGTTTAGATCTTGCTTTGGCTCCATCCCTTCTTTTCCATGTCCCTATACCTACCTTTTGGAATGGGAATGTTTATTCTGTGCTACTGTATTTTGGCTATAAGTAACTTGCTTTTGATTTTTTACAGGGGCTCATAGCTAAGAGTTTGCCTTGAGTCTCAGACTCCTTTAGACTTAGGAAATGTTGAAGCGAAGACTATGGAACTACCAGAGATGGACTAAATGCATTTTGCATTGTGAGATAGACATGAGCTTTTGGGAGCTGGGACAAAATGTTGTGGTTGGAAGTGAGATGTCCCCCTCCCCCAAATCTCCTGTTAAGGCAGAAATATTCAGAGGTAAAATTATGATTGAGAGTGATAACTTAATCATCCATCCTAGTTTGAATGGACTGACTGGGTCATAACCATAAGTAGGTGGGGTATGGCTAGAGGAGGTGGGTCACTGGGTATGCCCTGGGAGGGTGCATTTACTCCCTGCAGTTTCTCTCTGCTTCCTGACTCTGCCATAAGCTGAGAAGCTTTCCTCTTATGGGCTCTTTTTCCATGATTTTCTGCCTCAACTTTGGCCCAGAGTAGTAGAGCTGGCCATCCATGGACTGAGACCTCTGAAACTGTGAGCACCAAATAAACTCTCCCTCCTCTAAATTGTTCTTGTCATATATTTTGGTCACAGCAACATATCTTAAACTCAAGTTAATTTTCTTTCCTTCTAGCCTTTTCCTTTATTTCATTTTAGTTGGTAGTTATGGCATCCAACCTGTCAACACAGTAATTTTTAACTCCTTACCTTCTTCATCTAATCAATTGCCAAGTCTTGCCAATTGTGTCTTACAAACACCATTTTCAGAATTAATCCTTTTTTCTCTGTCCTTACAACCACTGCTCTCAATATCTCTTGCCTACATTATTGCAGTGACTTCCTAGCTGATTTCTTCCCCACTTTCCTTTTTGGATTTCCAAACATCTGTCTTTCTCAGCTTCTAAAGAAGTCTGTTTGAAATGCTTGTTTGGCTATGTTCTCTTCCAATCCAAATCTCTACAACCCTTAGAGAATAACATTCAGACATTTTAACACAGGAGGAACTTTTTGCCAT